CCCATTCGCCGGTCACGTCTAGGCCCTAGGCTTGGGTCGTGACAAGAATAGACCACTTTATAACTTCATAACTGAATTTAAACACGTACCGCTCCTTGTGGGTTTGACCCCAACTCTTTGTGGGTTTTATTCTAGTTAATGATCGTTTACACCTAGAATCGGATGAGGTGTATTTGAAATGTTAATCAGTGGGTAAGGTTGCTTATGTGTTAGATTTGCCAAATGAGTTGGCAACAGTGCATTATATTTTCAATGTCTTTATGCTTAAGAAGTATGTTGGAGATGTGACATCCATAGTTTCCCTTGAAGAGTTGGGAGTTGATGAAACTCTTTCTTATTAGGAATTTCCGGTAGAGATTCTAGACCGGCAAGTCAACGAGTTGAGAAACAAGGAAATAGATTCCTTTACGGTTTTGTGGAGGAATCAGTTAGTTGAGGGTGCTACTAGGGAGGCCGAGGCCGATATGATGTCCCGATATCCTCATATCTTTCCTTCTACTCCTATTCTAGCTTGAGGTAATGAATTCCTCTTGGTTTGTCCTTTTTTTGGGAGTAATGTGTTTTTATGTGATTACATGATTTCCTTATGTGATGCATGTTCATGAAAGGTTTTGTTTTGAAAGAAAATGAGTTTATATGATTTATTTTCCTCATGTTGTTATGCATTGAGTATGAGTTGCCTATAGACTTCATGAGATTAATTGATGAACATGCTTTAGCTATGCTTTTTTATATTGAGTTGCATATGAGCTCCATGAGATTATGTTGAGTATGATTATCTTAGAGTTGATGTTTCCTCATTACTTATGTTCATTGCATGCATAATGGGCTGATAGAGTTAGTTTCAACTCTTTTTAGAATTAGTTTGAATCTCATTCGAGGATGAATGGTCCCAACAGGGAGATATTGTAATACCACAGATTCGAAAAAAGGGAAGCCTGGCAGAATTACAGGACTTACAGGAGCCATCCACACAGGCCAACCACGACTTAGGTTGAACCACGGACCGTAGGTGGGCCCGTGGAAAGGCCACCAGTAAGTCTGCCTAGGCCTTGAACCACGGCTGGAACCACGAACAGTCGATGGGTCTACTCCTCGTGGTCCAAGGGCTATAGGTCCAGCAAAAATCCTCTGACCACCACCAACGAGTGTGCAGGACAGACCGTTGGTCAATCCAGGGTCCGTCAGTGGGGTCTCGTGGGTCACTACTGCAGTTGAGTTTCAGGGGTAGTTGGGTCTTTTCCAAATTAATTAGTTCCTATACTACATCATTTTACCGCTTTTTCAACCTCCCAAATTAGCCCATTCACTTCATTCATCAACATTCACAAAAGAAAAACCAAATTTCCTCTCCAAATATTTCTCTCTAGAAACTTGAAGAAAAAGAAGATTCAAACTGGGGTTTCAAGTCAAGGTCTCAATTCCTCCATTGAAGGCTAGATTTTAGATTCAAGGTATGATAGTTTTCATCCATGGAGTTGCCAAATTCCTCTATTTAAAAAGGTAGAATTCCCCAATTGAGTTACGGTTTTCTTCAATTATCATGGGTTCTTTTCATTATTGATTTAAATAATTGATTTATGATCTCTTATGCATGAATTGATGAAATTTGATGATTTTATGATGATTTCCCCATGAACCCATGTAATCCCCCATGTTTTCATGTTATGAATCATATAAAGTGGGATTTTAATCTTCCAGGAAGAGTTTTATAAAATTGAGCATGTATAGAAATCTTTACATGTATTTATGATGAAATCCATATCTAACTCATGTTTTCTAAGCATTGATGATTAAAAGTGGGTTTTGAACCTCAAGAGGTAAATTATGGACTTATGCATTATTTTCTAAAATCTATGCAAATGTTTTAAGGGTGCTTTGAGAGTATAGTACCAATATTGATGTTGTGTTGTGAAAGGATATTCTCATAAACACATAAAAGCATGATGTGAATTGTTTTATCACAAAGAAAAGGATTCTTAGGTTGAAAGTCTTTCTCACCTAATTGAATCAAATAGTAAGAGCTATCCTAATGAACTAGTATAGTTTAGTTGTCCAAGGGACCCTTTACATAAATAATGAAGTTAAGTAAGAAATAACTATTCTGTGGGATTTATGCTTAGCACCGAGTGGATATTTATGATTGGATAGAAGCTCTCCCGTTAGTAGAGGTTGGGTTTCTAGACACAATCTCATGAGATGGAAGCTCCCCCGTTAGTAGAGGTCGGGTTTCTAGTATCAATGTCCTTATCCCTTAACTATGTGCCCCCATAGGTTGATTAGCTAGTTGATCCACTTAAGCTAGAAGTTCATGGTTCTACCTTGGCAAGTAGGACAACCCATTTCAGTATGGGAGACACTTGGATCATGTTATAGCTCATATTGTCTCTATGTCGGTTAAGGCTAACTCCCCACAAGTAATAATGAACTAAGGTTACTTCAAGAAGTATTGCATATGAGTTCAAAGGTTTTAAAGATGAAGTTAACTTGCATTGACCAAGATGTTATGACTTATGTTTTCTAACTCTTTTATATCATGTTTTAGCTTGACAATTGCATGTCATGAAATGAAATGTCCCTTTTACCATGATTTAGATGTTTTACGGGATTCCCTATTTACTTTCAGTTATTTCATTTTGTTATTAGGATGTCGTGGGTCTAATCCCAATGTCCATCTCAGTTAGTAGAGGCTTCATAGATAGATAGATAGACAGTAGTTCACGAGTCTTTTCCATTTCAAGTTTTAAATGTTTAAAGACTTAAGTTGCCTATTGGGCCAGTTGAATTTTCCTTTACAACATTCTGAGTTTATTACATGAGTTTATCTTTTGAGTTCTTTTAAATGTTGAGTCAAGTGTTCTGCTGAGAGTATTGAGCCAGGCAATGGATTTGTTTGGGGCCAACATGGTTCTCGAGTGCCGGCCACACCCAGGGTGTAGGCTCGGGGCGTGACATATATATAGGGGCACATCAAAGCGCATATATGAAAAAAAAATATTAGTAACAACCTTTTGTAAATTGTGAATTTGAAATTCGGATGAACAAACTTAACAAACTATTTAAAGGGTTTTAGAAAAAAAATGTTGCACATATAAAATCACTTATAGCATAAAAGACTTAAGGAGAATTAAAAATAAAATTTCTAGTAAAAAGAACACAAGCTATCACCATCATAGCCTAGTTTGCCTACCTATCGTTGGTGATGGACAAAACGGTCATTGGCCAGCCTCCTTTGGAGGGTGGCCAGCCTACTAAAGCCAATTTTCATACTCTTTCAAACCACAGTCAGGTCACATTAAGCCAATAACGTTTAAACCAATAACATATTTACATGGGGAGCCAATAGTATTATGGGAGCAGGAGGAGGTATATCAGATGATAATCCACGAGAATATTGAATATCCTGTGATCGGAAAATTCTCTTATGGATGGCCATATATTCAGGACTTGAGGAAATTAATTTCAAAACAATGTGAGGTAAAGGGAGAATGCAAGATTGGACTACTTAGCAATAGACATGTCCTCATTAGGGAAACCTTGCTGGAAGATTATGTGCATCTTATGTCCAAACCGGCATACTATATTATGCAGAAGAATTGGTCTTTCCCTATGAGAACTTTGAAATGGGATCCTATGTTTAATCCAGAGGAAGAGACTACCACATCAATTGCATGGATTTCCTTTCCATCACTCCCTCCGAACTTCTTTGGTAAAGAATCAATCTTCTCACTGGCTGCTGAAGTTGGGAAACCTTTACAAGTGGAAATGGCGACAAAAAATCAAACCAAGCCCAGTTGTGCAAGGGTGAAGGTTGAGGTGGATCTTCTAAGAGAATTCCCCAAACACATTAAAATAAGCATGAAAAAGACAAATGGAGAGGTGATGGAGAAGTGGGTGAGAATAAAATATGATTACGTCCCCAAATATTGTAAGACTTGCATAATCCAAGGACATAAGGAACAACAATGCTATGTGGAACAACCAGAACTATATCCCAAAACAGAGAAGAAGGACCATGAACCAAAGGAAAAAGATGGAGGAATACACACAACAAAGAGTACAGAAGCCCATTTAAGATAACAAAGAAATGGATAAGAAAGGAGTGAAAACTGCTAAATAGAAGGAAGATTTTATTTAACAAAAAATTAAAAGGGGAGGATGGAAGAAACAACCTGAACAGGTTTGGGCAAAGGTGAATATTGAGACTGGTAATTAGTTTGGAGCACTGGAAATAGATGAAAACGATGTCGAAGGTGAAACATATATACTGGAGGAGATGGAGAGAAGTGTCAGAAAGATCCTAAACTACCCCCCAAATAATGGATTGAAACTTCTTTTAGGAAGCTTGATGTTACTCCAGGGATTCAAAGAGCTAAAGGCAGCAAGTTATCTACATCGGGAGGGAACGCGGAATAGGTGGATGTGTCTAGTAAATTAGAGGAAAGCCCCAACAGTGAGATCCAAAAAAGCCACAATGTCAAGGATAGAGGTAGCAATATTCAATCACTTGGTAAAAGCTCGGAGCATGTAGAAGTGTCTAGCATAATGGAAGAAAATTCCAACAATGCAAAAAGTATCAACGTATATGAGAGAAGGAAGTAGTCTAAAACAAAGGAATCAGAGGACAATGTAAAGGAAACACCGGATGACCAACTCCCTCAACCTCATGTTAAGGAGGCCCCAGATTTAATGAAAGATTTTGAGGAGGTAATTCAACACAGGAGGGAAATGAAAGAAAATGAGAGTATGGAATACAACATACAACAAATCAGTAAGGCTAGAGACTTATCAGAAAGAAACACTGATAGTTTGAGAGAAAAAAATAGGAAGGCCTACAATTCCTCTTCAAGTCAAAACAAGGAGCATCAAGGATAGAGGAACTCATAGTGATCAATGTTAGAAAAGGCTATTTTCTGTAATATTAGATTTATTACACTCATAATGCTTTTGGGAGGTTAATGGATTTAAATAGAAGACATCGTTATTCATTCATAGAACTAATGGAACCCTTACAAGATCCATTAGAGCTAGATCAATACAAAGTGAAGTTAGGATTTGATAAGGCGTTGGTTAACCGTTCTGGTAAAATTTGGATTTTCTGGAGAGACGACTGGGAGGGCACAATAGTAATGGATTCTCTACAACAGATAACAATGAGATTTTGTAGAAATGACAGTTATTACATTATTTTTTCAGTTTATGCTCGGTGTAGTGCTATTGTCAGATTGGAATTATGGGCGGAACTAGAAGGCAGTGCTGAAAATTCTCAAGTCTCTTGGATTGTGGGAGGAGATTTTAATGTCAGTTTATGTGCGGAGGAAAAATTGGGTGGACTAGCTTTCATTCAACATGAGGCAATTGATTTTTCACAATGCATTAATAATTGTGCCTCAGCCGAATTGGATGTTATTGGCAGTAAGTACAGTTGGTGGAATGGTCGGATTGAAGAAGAAGGTATCTTAAAAAGGTTAGATAGAGTACTGAAGAACAACGTATTTCAGGAGGCTTTTCCATCGACTGTAGTCCACCATCTTATCCGACAAGGCTCAGACATGCTCTGTTACATATAAGTTGTAGCACAGATGAAGAACCTATCTTTAAGCCTTTTCGATTTCTGAACTTTTGGACAAAACACCATCAGTTTAAGGCAATCATGGAAAAATATTGGAACACTGATTTCATAGGCAATCCTTTTTTAGAAGTTCAAGCCAAAATGAAGAAAGTGAAGAGAGCATTATCACATTGGAGCAAAGATACTTTTGGCAATTGCTTCCAACAAATTTCTACCACAAAGGATGTGATTAAAATCAAGGAAACTCAATTCAAGATGAATCCAACTGCAACAAATAGGGCTGAATTAAGTAGAATGAATGCAGAATTGGGAAAATATCTCACGATAGAAGAAGAATACTGGAAACAAAAGCCAGGAATGAAATGGTTTGTGGAAGGGGACATGAATACTAAATTCTTTCACTCTTATGTGAAAGGAAGGAGGAAAAAATTGCATCTGGCAGAAATCATTAATGAGCAAGGTGAAACTATTCACACTGCTCAGCAAATTGGGGAAGCATTAGTGTGTTTTTTTCGAAACAATTCACAGAAGAGGACCATAATCAGGATTTCTCAATGCTAAGACATATTCCATGTCTTGTCACTGAACAGGAAAATGAGGAGATGACTAAACTTCCTAATCCAGAGGAGGTAAAAAAGGTGGTTTTTGAATTGAGTGGTGATAGTGCATATGGACCAGATGGGTTGTCAGGTGCATTTGTTCAGACTTATTGGGAAATTATTGAGGTTGATACCACTAAGTTAGTTAGAGCATTCTTCTGTGGACATGAGCTTCCAAAGTTCGTAACTCATAAAAATTTAGTGCTAATACCCAACAAAGAGAAGGCAAGAAAGTTTACTGATATGAGACCTATAAATTTAAGTGGTTTTATCAATAAAGTCATCTCAAGAATGTTGCATGATAGAATGGTGATGGTATTACCAAAGGTTTTCTCCCCAACACAATTAGTATTTTTGAAAGGTAGGAGCATCACAGAAAATGTACTATTAGCACAAGAAATAATATGAGACATCAATAAAAGGAACCAAAATATGAATGTAGTGGTGAAATTGGATATGGCTAAGGCCTATGATAGGGTGTCTTGGATTTTCCTCATGAAAGTGTTGAGAAAGTTTGGCTTTTCAGAAGTCATCATAGACATGGTGTGGAGACTAATTTCTAACAATTACTATTATGTGCTGATAAATGGGCAAGGGAATGGTTTTTTCTAATCATCGAGGGGACTCAAGCAAGGGGATCATTTATTCCCCACTTTATTTGTTATGGTCCCTTGATATGGATCTGGTTATGGGGAGTTTTAGTGTGAAATCGTATGTTTTCTTCCTACGACCTATGATGCTGGTTCGTAAAGAGAGAACCTGCAATCTCTTGAGTTTGAAGTATTCAAAGACTTAGTAATTTTCTGCATAACATTTCACTGAATTCAAATACATTAATACAACACTGAAACAAAGAAAGTAACTGCCTACTGCCTACTACAACTAAATGAGAAAGTGGAGGAATAACCTCCTTACTGCAATAATTGCTACACAGAAAATGAAAACATTAATACTTAAAAACTGTAGTAATCTACTGCGAACAACTAAATAACTTATAAGCTAACGTAATCTACTTTCTAATTTCCTTAAATCTCCCATGTGTAAATCGTTGGTAGACTAAATGAGTGCTGACATAACTCCCCCCTTTCAAATCACGCTTGTCCTCAAGCGGGAAATGAGGAAAGCATTGATGCATAGAAGAAACAGTTTCCCATGATGCCTCAGCTGGAGAAGTATGCTGCCAATGTATCAAGACTTCAGGTACATTACGAACAACCCGATGTTCAAGTACAGTTATAGGATGGGGTGAAGGAGCTTCTGGCAAACTTGAAGGAAGAGTAGCAGCTGCTGGAAAGTCGCCTTCATGAAAAAGCTTCAATTTAGAGACATGAAAAATTGGATAAAGTTTTATACCTGGTGGAAACTCAAATTTATAAGCCACAGGCACAATACGCTGCTTAATTTTGTAAGGACCATAAAACTTGGGCAACAATTTTTGGTGATGACGAGTACCCACAGAAAGCTGTTTACATGGTTGTAGCTTCAACAGAACTCTATCCCCCACTTGAAACTCAACATGTCGATGCTTGGAATCAAAAGTAGCCTTCATTCTCTGTTGAGCATGCAATAGATTTTGTCCTAAGGACTGCAGAATTTGATCCCGAGTATATAACGCTATATCCACTGCATCTAGTTTGGAAATTCCAGGGGAATAAGGCAAAAGACGTGGCGGAGGACGCCCATACACCACTTCAAAGGGTGTCATTTTCAAGGAAGAATGAAAACTGGTATTGTATGAATATTCTGCCCAGGACAACCAGTCCATCCATTTGGTAAGATGTGCACTGGTAAAGCACCTCAAGTACATCTCCACAGTTTGGTTATCAACTTTAGTTTGGCCATCAGATTGAGGGTGATACGCTGAACTAAAACACAACTTGGTACCACTCAGGCGGAAGAGTTCTCTCCAAAAAGAACTTGTGAAAGTTACATCGCTATCACTAACCATGCTTACTGGTAAGGCAAGTAATTTGAAATTATTGTCAAAGAAGAGTTGGGCAATACTTACTGCAGAGTATGGATGAGCAGTTCACAATAATTGGCAATATTTAGAGAAACAATCTACTACCACTAAGATTACGTTTTTCCCATGTGAAGTAGGTAATCCTTCCATAAAATCCAATGAAATATCTGACCATATTTGTTTCAGAACTGATAAAGGCAGAAGAAGACCAGCAGGTTTATGTCGCTGGCAAACGCCACAAGCACGAACAAAGTCGCAAATATGATGCTTCATACTTGTCCAATGGAAATCCCTTGTAATCTGAAAAAGTAATTTTTGGTACCCCTCATGTCCCTGGTTATGCAAGGCAGTCATGACTGTCTGAATGGAAGGAGAGTTTGATGCCAAGAATGTTCGGTGTTTATACAGAAACAATCCATTCTTGACCCTCCACTGATCTGATGCATTACCATCATGGACAACAGATATTAACTGCTGGACATCAAGAGAGTTTTGTTGTTCTTCTGATGTCATCAAAAAGGCTTAATTGAGGCATGGAAATGGCAAGAAACATAGCTTCAATATTATCTCGACGGGATAAGGCATCAACGACAGTGTTTAAATAACTAGCCTTGTATTCAATCGAAAATGAGTAACCCAGAATCTTGGTCAACCAATGTTGTTGCGGAGGAGTTAGTGCCTTTTGTTCCAATAGAAACTTCAAACTATAGTGATCAGTACGAACAACTAATTAACTTATAAGCTAAAGTAATCTATTTTCTAATTTCCTTAAATCTCCCATGTGTAAACCGTTGGTAGACTAAAGGAGTGCTAACATTATTCATCATTGCTACCAAAGTATTGGCCAGGGGATTAGATAGCCTACATAAGGATAAAATTTTTAAGAGATATAGTATGCCAAAGTGGAGTCCAGAGATAAACCACCTATCTTATGTTGATGATACAATTCTTTTCTGTTCGGGGGATAGATCATAAGTGAAAACAATGATGAAGGTGTTGAGTGATTATGAGAATATCTCTGGACAAATGACTAACAAATCAAAGAGTTCATTCTATCTTCATGATAATACTCCCTTGATTGTGGCAATCAGAATGAGAAGATTAACTGGCGTAAAGCAAGGAAATTTTCCATTCACCTATTTAGTCTATCATGTGTTTTATGGAAGGAAGACCAAGAGCTATTTTGAAGATCTAGTAAGAAAGGTGGAAAATAGAATTTTCTCTTGGCAGAATAAATTTTTAACTTTTGGGGGTAAATACATTCTTATCAGTAATGTTCTTCAATCTTTACCAGTGTATTTATTATCTGCTATGAACCCCCCAAAGAGTGTAATTGAGCAGATTTATCACATCTTTTCAAAATTCTTCTGGAGAAGATCAGGAAGCGTTAGAGGGAATAATTGGGTAGCATGGGAGAATATGTGTTTTCCAAAGGAGGAAGGAGGTTTGGGATTTTGATCTCTTCATGATGTCAATAATGCATTATTTGCAAAATTGTGGTGGAATTTCAGGGTGTCTACATCTTTATGGAGTCAATACATGGGCAATAAATATTGTAAAAAGTTGCATCCTACTTTAACTATGAATACAGGGGCCTCACACGTATGGAGGAAAATTCTAACCATAAGACAGGAAATAGAACATGATATTTGGTGGCAAGTAAAGTCTCGAAATTCCAGTTTTTGGTTTGACAACTGGACTAGACAAGGTGCATTATATTTCATAGAAGATGGAAATACAGATAGTGAAGACATTGAGGTGAAGGATTTTATCCAGAATGGTTCTTAGTACATGGAGAAGCTAGTAGAACATGTTTAGAAGGAAATGGCAAGTCACATAAAAGAAAATATCAAGCCAATTACTAATGATATTAATGATACAGCCTGGTGGATGGGAAATACTTCTGGAGAATTTACAGTCAAATCAACTTATCATATTATGAGGAATAAAAGAGAGAAGATAGACCTGATGAAGTATATGTGGTTAAAAGGATTACCTTTTAAGATATCCTTCTTTCTATAGAGAGTGTGGAAAAAGTAAATAGCCACAGATGATAATTTACATAGAATAAAGATACAAATTGATTCAAATGCTATTGTTGCGAGACAGGAGAAATGGAAACCATGATGCATTTATTACTAACAGCTCCCATAGCTCAAAGGCTATGGAAGCAGTTTGCTTCTTTCGCATGTTTTAGCATTGATGGCCTAAATATACACCAGCTACTATCAAAGTGGTAGGAATATAAGGCATATCTTAAGTTGCAACATATTCTGAAAGCAATTCCTGCTATTGTCATGTGGGAACTGTGGAAACGAAGGACTGCAAGACGACATGATAAGGAAGTCACTTTCAGTAAAATGTATTTACAGTGTCAATTGACAATACATCAACTGATTAAGGCCAAATTTTCATGGATAAGAAATATTCCGCAGC